GCAAACACAGCTCGTGTTTCAGCTCAGTTGCCTCGTTGATCCGGTGATCAACGCAAGGTCACGTGAGCTTAAATGACTTGTTACAACGTCTTGGTAGCGCAGCCCACGTACGTCTTCCGATTATAAGATAAAGTAGTAAGTACTTATAGTTAGAAAATAAATAGATAGTAAGAACTAAAGACTTAATATATATATAATATATTATATATCCTCTAAGTATATATACTTTTAGTAAGTACCCTTTAATAAAGAAAGGTTAACTATAAATATATATCTTATTTACTACTTATTTTATCTTATATTATTTATTTAGCTTCTTATTATTATTTATCTTGCTTTACTACTTTACTATTATGCTTTACTTTTATACTATATTACTTTATGTTACTATTATAGCCTAGCCTTATCTTATTAGAACTATAATAGCTACTAGGAAGGCTGTATTATATATTATAATACTATCTAAAAATAATAAGCTACTTTTAACTATATAGATTACTTTTATTAAAAGCCTACTTATTATAAAAGAGGCTTACTATATGGGTAGTTTATATAGTTAAAAGTAGCTTATTATTTCTAAATAGTATTATACTACGCCTTATAGCTAAATACTATATTATTCTTAAATTATAAAGTAATATTATACTAAAGATAGTGTTATATAGTAATATCTTATATAAGGCTATATTATTCTTTATATTATACCTTTATAAGTAGTAGTATATAGTTATCTATTACTTAGATACTAAATAATAACAAAAGATAAAAAAATTTAATATAAAAAAGCTATTGTTATAAAATAACTACTTATTATTATTTATATCTTCTAATTAGTCTAGTCTAGCTAGGCTGTTTATAAATTCTATTAATTTATTATATAAACCTACTTTACTTTCTTTTCTTTTTTTTCTTAAATAATAAAATAAGAAACTAGAAGTAACTAATCTATTTTTATATAATATAATATCTTATTTTACCCTACTACTTATATTATTTATTATTACTAATTATAAATTACTAATATATTTATTTAAATACCTTATTAGATAATAACTACTAAGGAGGTCTACTATTATATTATAGTAATATAGTATAGTAATAGCTCTTCTTAAGTAAGTAATTTACCTATCTCTCTCTTATACTACGTAGAGTAGTAGTACAAAAAGAAGCCTCTTTAGCTTATAAAGAGCTAGAATACCTCTAAGGAAGAGGCTTATAAGTCTTACATATTAATTATTTATTACTTATTACTAACTATTATATAGCTTTCTTAAAGAAGATTAAAGTTATAAAGCTTATACTTACTTTGCTAGTAGTTAAGTAACCTATAATAATAGTTTATTAGCTATAAGTTATTTAGGCTAATATCTATATATATATATATATATATATAAAGTACTATAAAAATTACTTAACTATTATAAAAAAAGAAAAGCTTTATTAATAGCTTTAGCTTATTATTAATTAGTATATGTTTATAATATATTAATATTATTTACTATTATACTTATATTATTACTATAGTTAATAAATTAAAAGGGCTATTATTATTCTTAAATACTAGCACCACTAGTAATCTCTTCTAAGATCTTTTTCTTTCTTAAAGGTAATAATAAGGAGGGTAGTAGTATTAGTAATACCTTTATCAATACTATAAAGCTTTTCATTAGTATATTAGTAGCTAAGGCTACTATTATTCGTCTTTATAAGTACTACTTTTATAGTATACTTATAGCTTATTTTAATACGTTATATCTTTTAAGTACTAATAGGAAATACTACTACTATATAATTAATTATTATACTTATAAGGCAATTCTTATAGTATTAATTAGCCTACCTAGTATCTCTTTAAATACTCTATTAGTTAGTAATACTTTATAAATAGTAGAAGTATATAGTAGTATAATTAAGGACTTTATTTATAATAATAATACATTATTATAAAGTAGGCTTATAATATTAGTAACTTATATAGTTAAAGGTAGCTTATTATTTCTAGATAGGCTAACTATTAGTTATAACTAAGGTAGTAATATAGTTAACTATTTATATTAATAAGTAGTAATAAATAATAAAGATAAATATTAGTTCTAAATTATATATAAAGAAGAAAGCTATTATAGAATTATATAGTAAAGTTACTATAAAATATCCCTATAGATTTAGTAAATCTATAGTAAGCTAGCTATAGTTATTCTTACTATATTAGTGCTAATCTATACTACTAATATCTAAGTAATAGTTAATATTATAATAATATCTTATATATTATATTATTATAAAGAAAATCCTTAATTAATAAGGTTTATAATTCTTTTAAGAATTATCCCTTTTTCTAGCTTTATAATCTTTTTCAATTTTAAATATATTTTATTCTATATAATATATTTATTATATTAGGTACAGAGAGATATTTAAGAGATCTTAAAGATATAAGCCGCTATTCATAAAGATATTCTTAGGTCTTTGTAGATATCTTAGAAGGTAAGAATAATTTTATTTTCTTTAGAAGAAGAGATTATATTAATATATAAAGAAAAGTATATTTAAAGTTTAAAGAGATAGAAAAGAAGTAAAAATAGTTTACTTACTATACTATTCTACTTACTTAGTAAGTATATTATTATATTTTCTATATAGCCTTTAGTATATAATCTTAGTAGTTTAAGTAATAAAAAGCTATTTATACTTTATTATAGCCTTTATTATTTAACTAATTACTATATAATTAATCAACTAGTAAACCTTATACTACTATTACTAACTATTAACCTCTACTTACTATTTGTAGAAACCTTACTATCTTAAAACTAACTATAACACTAGTCTATATATATAACTAGGTTAGTATAAGATAGTAGTATAAATAATAACTATATATACTATTACTTACTAACTACACTTGTCTTACCCCTTGCCTTATATATACTTTTAACCTTTATAGTGTAGTATGCTTTTTAGGTAAATCTAGATGTCTTAATAAAAAGAAACTATATATTATATTTAGTATTAGGTATAGTACTATTACTTTATATCTTTAATTCTATATAGTTAGCTTTATATATCTATACTACCTAGAAAAGGCACTATAAGAATTACATCTTAGCACTTATTTTTATTTTATTATAAGAATTATAACAGTTTGTTAATTAAATATAACATATACTCCATATCTCTTATAAACTCCTATTAGAATAAGGAAATCTCCTTATTTCTTTAATAAGAAATTCTAGGCTAATCTTAGCTATATAATTAGTGTGATTAGCTATCAAGTGGGGCTATTTTACTGCCTATTCCCTAACAATTTGCTGTGTAGTAACTGTGTATTTGCGAGTTAATTCACGTGTAATTCCGCTACATTTAATAATTCTTTTAACAATTTACAGGCAAGTTCGCACTAGGTAGCGTCCTTCAGGAGCTTGTTCGGTGTTGCCTACAAGATACTAGTTATTTGCTATCGGGATTCAAAAGTTTCAGATGTAGCTACATGACTAATAAATACTGACTACCATTAGATATGAATACATGTTAATGACTCGCCTCAATCAACCTGACTTATGTCTAAGCAGAAGCACAGAGTATAGACAACACTACCAGGGTTACCCTTGTATAAGGGGCAAAACACTCATTAAAATAGATATAAGATTGCTTCCCATACCTAATCGTTTATTATTCTGAATAATACACATTCAATAACCCCTACCTGTCTATCTGGTGCTTGATATTTACTCTCGATCTACAAACCCATCTCTTGTTAGGTATAACCTATCCGTATTTAACTCACTTAAACTCAACCAAACTCTTTTAATTCAGGGCTACACATATCAATCTGGTGTCCTTAGTATAGCGTTGGTATACTGACTTAAGATGGAAATCATACCCTCAAGCTTCAATGGCACCCGTCTTACAGCTCTAGCACTTCTCTTTGCTATAGCTTGTGTTGTGGTCTGGTTGCGTCGCGACCGGCGGCTCGTCACAATCCCCAAAGCAGGTGGCCGCCCACTGATTGGGCTTGGGCTCAGGCTCCCTCCGAATGCGCCTGTTCTTTTTCGTCAGTGGGCAGAGAAACACGGCGAATTATTTAGAGTGCGTGTTGGATGGTACGACTGGGTTATTATCAACACACCGGCTGCAATCCGCGAAATTCTAGAGAAGCAGGCTGTCAGTACATCGTCCAAGGCGCCATCCCCGATGGGCCACGACATAGTAACTGGCGGCAAGCGGATGCCTACAATGCCATACGGACCTCATTGGCGTGCCCAAAGGTCTGTCGTTCGACACGCTACCACTGTTCCCATGACAGCAACATTCACACCCAGCCAGGAGTTTGAAACAAAGCAGCTGCTTTACGACATAGCAACCGACAATCAAAGTCAAAGCGAATTTTTCCAACACATTCGTCGCTATGCATTCAGCATTATTATGACGAACACGTTTGGTACCCGCATCCAAACCTCGGATCACCCGGACTTACACAACGCGATGCGTAGCCAAATGATATTGAGGGAAACGTCCCGCCCAGGCGCATTCATCGTAGATACATTTCCACCGTTGGCGTCATTGCCACAGTGGCTTCGCCCGGGCCAGAGCCGCGCGAAGGCGGCAGCGAAAGAGGTTCTGGATATCAAGATGCGGCTGTGGCAAAGAATCGCGGACCAGGTAGCGTCAGGGAAGGCGCCGCACTGCCTCGCCCGCACAATATTCGAAGAAAAGCAACACTGGTACTTGCAGGGGCTTACGGACGAAGACTTGGCCTGGGTTGCGGGTGGACTCATTGAGGCCGGCTTCGAAACCACAGCGGCCACGCTCAATACTCTCGTGATGATGCTTGCAACCAACCCACGGGTCCAGCGCGAAGCGCAAAAAGAGCTCATGCGTTTTGTTGGCCCTGATCGGCTGCCATGTTTCGCAGATTTACAAAAACTACCTTACGTGCGTGCCTGCGTCAAGGAGGCGCTTCGCATGAATCCGATACTAGCTCCAGGGATCATGCACTTCGCCGACCAGGATGTGGTTTACAAAGATCACATTATTCCAAAAGGGACGGTTCTTGTTGCCAATACAGCCTTTTTGCACTTTGACCCAGGCCGTTTCGACAAACCATTCGAGTTCATGCCCGAGAGGTACTTGAGTCACACGTTATACAGCTCCGAGTACGCGGCCATGGGTGATCCATACAAGCGCGACCACTTCACCTTTAGCACAGGTCGGCGCACATGTCCTGGGGCGCGAATTGCTGAGAACTCACTCGGCATCGCCCTGGCTGGCTTATTGTGGGCGTTTGAGATTCGGTTGCCGCTAGTAAATCAAGTTGAGGTTCAGATAGACACAAGCAATCACGCTTTTACAGATGGCGGATTTGCTATTCCTAAGCCATTTGCTGCCAGATTTGTACCTTGGACAAAAGAGAGGGAGCAGCTAGTCAGGGACGAGTGGTACAGGGCATCAAAAGAAGGGTACAGTCTAAGAGGTGCCCATACAAATGTTACAGGAATAGTTGTTTCGTAGAGACATAAAAGAGGGTTAATAACTAGTAAGGAAAGTATATTCTATTAAAATATCTCCTAATATAGAGATTTAGGTACTATACTGCGCTTGTTTACATTAATATAGATATTATAGCTATACTTAGCTAGGGGTAGATTTACTAAGGAAGCTTATTTATAACTTATTTATTCCCTTAAGAGATATCTTTTAAAGTAAATGTAATAAAGCTATAATTTAAAAGTCCTTATAAGTAAGAATAAATATAAGGTTAAGATATATTTTCTTTATTATATAGTAAATCTTGTAATAGAGGTAACTTTTAAAGTTATAATATATTTATTTCTTTACTATACTATAGTACTATATCTTAGAGCTAAATACTACTTTACTATTAAATAATAAAGTAGTATTATTCTTTAGGTTATATTATATAGTCGTATACTAAGTAAAGTAGATATATTTATAATAATATACGCTTTAAAGTAGTAATATATAGATAATTATAAAGTTAAGGAAATATAATATAAGTATATATATTATAACTTATATTTAAAATTAACTATAAAAAGAAGTATAAAGAAGCTACTCTCTGTTTTATATATAAGTTATAATAAAGAAATATAGTATATTATTATATATAAAAAGTAGTGTATTATAAATTAGGGAATTAATAGGGGGGCGTTACGTTTTAATATAGGGGCGTTATTCTTATAAGGGCGTTATCTCTTGTCTTCTTAAGTAGCTTAAAAAATTTTTATTAGTATAACTAAATTCTATAAGACCTATAAAAAGTAGCTTATCCTTTTTACTTATCCTAAGTAGTAAGATAATCTAACCTTTATTCTATTTATACTTATTTTTACTTACTATAGTATTACTAGTAAATACTAAAGGTCTTTTATAGTACTAAACTTAGCTAATTTTATAGTGCTTAATATAACTAAGTTATCTTCTTAGTATAGGTTAGATTTTCTAAAAGTAATAATAAACCTATTATAACTTAAAACTATTATTTAGTAAACTTTTGTTATTTAGTAACCTTTTATTATTTTTTATATTAATAAGTAGCTACCTTATGTTAGGTGCCTAGAGCAGGGCCCTAGGGGGGCACTAGAGTAGGACTAGGACTAGATAAACTAGTTACTAAAGGAATAATAAAAGAGGAAAACTCTATAGAAGATAGGGGTTAGAGGAGGTATATTAGAATAATTATTATAATTAAACCCTAACTACACCTATTACTAACTCCTTTACTTAATACTATCCCTACCTCTAATACGTTTTAATATCTCTTTATCTTTAGGTGTATTAACTACTAAAGTAGTAATAGTGCCTACTAGATTCTAAACTATAGCCTAGTAATAAGAGAGCACTATAATAAGATAACTAATACCTAATATAACTAAGTTTATACTAGTAAATAAGTAGTATACTATTAACTTAGGTAAGCTATTAGAGGAAGAGCTAAAGGTCTTTCTAGAGGAGGAAGTAAAAAAAGTAAAAAAAAAGAAAATAATTAATTAAATTAAGGCTTTTTAAAGTAGTATATTTATAGAAGATATATAAGAGGAGATAAAGAATACTACTAATCCCTAACTAGAGGCTAAGTAACTTTATACTAATACGCTTTTAAAAGAATTACTTACTTTAAGGTATAAAAAAAAGCTAAAATAAACTATAAGAATTCTTATTTTAGTTAGAAATATATTTTAATATAGTAAAAGATAAGTTTATAACTAATAATAATAAAGTAAGATATACTAGTACTATACTAAAAAATAACTTAGTGTATAAATAAAAAAAGTATATAGGTTTTTATTATAAAAATAAGATTAGTAAAGTACTTTAAGAAGTTATAAAGGACTAGCTAAAAATAAATATTACTAATAATAATATATAGGCTTTTAGTACTACTATAAAGCTAGATACTATATAATAAGCCTTAGGCTAGTTATACTAATAATTTATTAATAAGTATAAAATAGTTAAGGAGGAGTGCTTTAACCCTTAAATAAAAAGGTAGTAAGTAGTTTATATTTTAAACTAGGTGCTTTTAGACCTAAGGACTTATATACTTACTAAAGGGCTACTAGCTACTTACTAAGAGTTAGATAATATAGTAAAAAAAGTAAAAATACTTACTAAGACCTATATAAGAGAGGTATTAAGAGGATAGCTAAAGTAAAGTTAGAAAAAGAAAAGCTACTAAAAGGTAGTAGTATAACTAATAACTATAGACGCCCTCTTAACTAAAGCTATTAGTATATACTTAATACTAATAGCTATAATACTAATAGGTATACCTATATTAAAGCTAGGGGTTAAAAAAAAAGAAAAAAGTATAATACCTTAGCTAGAGAGGACTTAAGAACTACCTACTTATTATAACTATAAGAAGCCTAAGCACTAGTTAGCTAAGTATAGTAAAAAAAAGTGTTATAAGTATAAATAACTATAATACTTAAGGAGATAGTACGCCTTAGTGCTAATAAAGGTTAATAGTATTAAGCTTTTTTAAGATAAAGGACTATACTACTACTTTAAGGTAGATTTCTATACTAAGATAAGTAGTATATAGAAAAAAAGAAAAGTACTAATTAATCTTAGTATAAATAAGAATATACTATACTAAAGGATATTATATATAAAGGTACTAGTAAAAGTAAGCTAGGGGGGCCTAGCGCTTTAAGGTATATAAGAAGGTAAGGCTTTAGACTATAAAATAAAGAAGGTAGTAATAGAAGTTATAAATAATATAAAGGTCTTAAGGATATAAAGCTATACCTTCTAAGTTAGTAATATAACTAAGTATAATACTATCTTAAGGATCCCCTAAAGATAAGTAGTATAACTAAATATAAAGTAAATAATAATTAGTTAGATATACTTACTAAGAAAAAACTACCTCTAACTTATTTAAAGTAAGTAGAAAATTAAGAAGGTATATAAAGATTTAAGGGCTATTTTAGCTTATTAACTAATAATCTACTACTTATAATATAAAGAGAATAGGAGAGCACTAAAGATACCTTATTATAACTAAAGAGAAGAGGTAGAGGCTAAATAAAATAAAGAAATAAAGGCTACCTTACTAGAAGCCTATAAGGAATAAGTATATATATTTAATATAGGCTTAGTAGCCTAGCTAGTAGGTAATAAGGGCTACTTATATATAATTAATTTAAAGCTAAAAGTAAAAGTGCTATTTAGCCTTATCTACTTATTAGCTGAAAAAAAACTAGAGGAATTAAGGATATATATTAATAAGTTACTTAAGAAAGGCTAAATTAGACACTTTATAAGCCTAGTAGGGGCACTAATCCTCTTTATTCCTAAGAAAAAAGGTAAGCTATATCTCTATATAGACTATAGAGGGCTTAATAAAGTAACTATTAAGAATTATATACTACTACCTCTTATTAGAAAGATCCTTAACTATTTAGTAAAAGTAAAGTAGTATATAAAGCTAGACCTAAAGGACGTATATTACTAAGTAAGAATTAAGATAAGTAATAAATAAAAAATAGCTTTTTATACTTACTATAAATACTTTAAATATTATATTATACTATTTAGGCTAGTTAATATACTAGTAATATTTTAGGTATATATTAATAATACTTTTACTAAGCTAGTAAATATTATATATATTATTTACTTAAATAATATCTTAATCTTTATAAAAAATAAGAAAAGTTATATAAAAGTAGTTAAGTAGATATTAAGCTAGTTAGATACTATAAAGCTATATATAAACCCTAAGAAGTATATTTTTTACACCTAGTCTATTAGGTTTCTAGGTTTTATAGTATCTAATAAAGGGATTACTATAAAGTATAAGTAAGTATAAGTAATAGTAAAGTAGCTACTCCCTACTAGTGTTAGGGAGATTTAAGTTTTCTTAAGGTTTATAAGATTTTATTAGTAATTTATTAAAAACTACTTTAAGGTATATACCCCTTTAATAAATAAGCTAATATCTAAGGTAGTAAGGGAGTAAGTAATAATATAAAAAGTAAAAAAGGCTTTTTATAAGCTTTACGCCTTATTTACCTAGGCCTTAATCCTTTAGTATTTTAACCTTAAGTTACTTATATAAGTTAAAATAAATATATCTAACTTTATAATTAGTATAGTAATATACTAGCTTTATAAGGGAGTATAGCACCTAGTAGCCTTTATATTATAAAAGCTATAAAGAGTAAAACTTTATTATAAGGCACTAAAGGTAAAGCTACTTATAATCTATAAGGTAGTAATTTACTAAAGATACTACTTACTATATATATAATATTAAATAGTGTTCTTAATAGACTATTTAAAGTACTACTATCTAGCTACTAAGTCCTAACTTAATAGTTATTAGGCCTAGTTACTATAAGATTTATTATTATTTAACTTTAAGATTAAATACTAGCTTAAGAAGAATAATATAGTAAATAAGCTCTTATAATAGCTAGACTACTAGCTTACTAAGGAGGAGAAAAGAGAAGTATATAGCGTGTTCCTAGTAGATTTCCTTAGTAAATTTAGAAAACAGGTTGTAATATTTAGATATAGTAAGTTACTAAGTCCTAGGTTACTAGACTAAGGATAACTTACTACTAACCTAAAAAACAAGATTATTATAGTATAACTAGTAGATAAGTAGGCCTAATTAAAAAGGTAATAATAACTAAGTAGTTAATAAATAAAAAGAGAAAATAAAACACTATAGTATAATAAGAGACTATTTATTTTTAATAGGTATATAGTAAGAATAAAGTTACTAGTAGTATTTTATAATAAGCTAGCTAGAGGTTACCTAAAAATAAACTATATACTTAAATATATTAAATAAATATATTTCTAAAAGTTAATAAAAAAAATATTAAGGAGTATATAAGGACTTATATAATATATTAGTAAACTAAACTAAGGCACTACTTACTATATAAAAAGCTAGCGCCCCTACTAGTACCTAGCTAGCTATAAGAATATATAACTATAGACTTTATTATAAAACTACTAAAGTTAAAAGG